TGTAAACTGCCCCGCCCCCTCGCACACAGACAGGGGAGAGAGATCTCTCATCTGGATTGGAAAGATCGAAAATACTAAAAATAATCAGACGCATTTTGCTGTCTTTTTGCGTATTAGAAACCGAGTTGGCGACACTAAAACTGCAATATAATGTTTATGTAGCATAATACATATAACATATCTTTTTTACATGTCTCCAGTACCGATAAAAAGACCGATAACGTTGGACCTTAACGGTACCACGGTCTTTAATAATTCAGCCCCGGGGCCCGTTTAATACCGGGGCTCGGTACCCATCCCTATTCAGGTGTGGGTTTAGTAAATATTTGCTTTACTCAAACGTATAGGCTGTAGCTGCTAGGATGGGATGTCTACTAAGTGCACTAGGATGGGAAATCTAACAGGTGTGATGAGACGAGCAGGATTGTTTAAATGAAATGAGTGCACTCACTTAAACGTAATGTCTTAATGTTAATTGGTGAACAGTAAATATATTGAAACTGTTTTTCAGGTGTTCAGATTCCTCTGCTCTGATTTATTTTGTATCCACTCCTCTTTTGTTTTTCTGCCCTTGCCACTTAATCTTCTTAATTATTTTTATTCCGTGGAAATAGGAAGCACGCTACATGATTAAAGGCCAATTACACCCTTTCATTTGGTCCTTATGACTCATTTTGTAGATTGTGGAGATTTTCCCTGCTCTGGAAAATACCAGTTATTCCTCCATGAAGAGGCACAACATGGCTCTCGCATCTCGATGGAGACTCTGGAGATATTACTTTTATTTCTATGACTTCTAGTTAGTCTCTGCCTTGACTTTCTGTCTAAATACTCTTGAGGTTCTTCTGTCAAATTCTCCTCATATCTTTTATCTGCGTTCCCTCCTTCCACCATCATATATTCTGTTATCCATTTCCTCTCCGCTCTCCCTCTCTGTCCCAGTCGACTTGGGGGTGGGACTACTCGGGCTCCTCTAACCTGGGAGAGTTGAAGCTGTTGCTGGAGGAGTGTTTGATGTTACGCCGGCTCAAAAGCGAAGTCCTCTCTCAGCTTCCTGCTAAACAACGCAAGGTTGTCACGGTGACAATAGAGGGTGTCAACGGCCGCATAAAAGCCGCTCTGTCAGCTGCTGCCAACCAGTTGGCCAATCAACAGCGCAATGTAAGTTAACAATGTTTCTCATAGTCCTTGAGAAAACTCATCAAGTCACATCATTTCAAGTTTTTGAATTGTTCACAAACCTTAAGTCAAAATGTAGGCTTTCTGGTTGCAGATTGTAAACTAAACATTCAAACTTAACTCTCTTCCCCGAGTGTGAAAACCAACACCAGATTCTCTCTGTTCGGATCAAGATTATTCTCTATATTTGCCATGTTTCACGCCGTGTCCACATTTTTTATAGAAAAAGAGAACAATAAAAGCAGGACACACTCTTCAGAAGCAGTATCTTCAGCAGAGAGGGATTTTGTTTGAGTCTACACTGTTTTGTTTTTAAATCCTACTCATTGTGCCTTGTAAGAGATCGTGTAGGGAAATTACAATTCTCACATCTTCAATCAAACCTTCCAAAAACGGTAAGAATTGCAAGAAATACGTAAAATCCTGACAAATACATCAGTTTGTCAGAAATACAACCCTGAATTATGTTCGAAAAAAAGACGGGGAAAAATTCTGTTGGACTTAGAGTAATGGAGGATTCTTCATCTATACGGGAGGATTTTTAAATGCCAAAGTATTCAAAACCCAAACCTGTTGATAAAATGTAATAAGAGAAAAAATAAAAGGTTTGTTCTACTTGAAATGTAATCGTTGTGATTAAAAAAAGTCATCATAGCCAAAAAGAACTTTTCAAAATGGTTGTTAAGCCCAAGAAAGTTCCATGAATTGGTTCACTGAGGGAGTCCTTTTCAGGCCGGGACACAAACGAGAGCTTTTCAAACTGACCCAGATTACCCCAGCAAGTCTTATTTTAGGAATATCTTGACACTGAGTCGCTTAGCGTGATTCTTTATTATCACACTGCTCCTCAGAGTAATGGCAGTCTCATCAGATCATCAGTCAGAATCTACTGTCAGTTCTTATCTTGTGCTGCTCTTATCTCTTTTTTCAGAAGAAGGAAGAGAAGGAAGCCCTCCTTGTCTTTTATAACCACACAGCTGAAGCCAAGCTGCAAGCCATTATGTAAGAGCAGACCCTCTAACAGTCACTAAATCAAATCAGCTTAAATGTAAAATGAATCGGAGTCTTTTGTCAGGCCATTGTGATCGCGCTGGTTTTGGAGATATCTTAAAGAGTTTTCACTTGAGGACTAAATATTTAACTGCTTTCTGTGAAACTGAGTTTTTTTGTGTCTGTCACTGCCAGGGAGTACATCACAGACATGCTGGAGTGTGGGAGGGAAAAGTTTCTTGTGTTCGCCCATCATAAGTTAGTCCTGGATCATATCAGCAGCGAACTGGGAAAAAAGGTGAGTCAGATGTTTGGATACGCACAAAAGCTTAGTATGAAAGAGAGAGTAGCTGCGGGGAACAAGAGTGGGCAGCACATTTGAGCTTAGTAATACTACTACTATGACCTTAATATACAAGGGTTGTTCATTCTTGTTGTTGATTTGTGCTGGTTTGCTTTTAATCTCTTCCTATAGAATGTGAGTTTTATCCGTATTGACGGCTCCACACCCTCTGCTGATCGGCAGCTGCTGTGTAATCGGTTTCAGAGCTCCACTCAGACCTGCGTGGCTGTTCTGTCCATCACTGCAGCCAACATGGGCCTCACGCTGCACGCCGCCGACCTGGTGGTCTTCGCTGAGCTTTTCTGGAACCCGGGGGTAAGCAACAAGTTAATACTACAACATACTGTGCACTCAATGTGACTATTTTATTATGATTGCATTTTATTTTGTAGTATTTTCCTTTTCAACTCTATTTTTGTATCTTCTTTCCATCAACAGAAGCTTAGCTTTTGAAGTATCTCCCAAAAATGACAGACAGAGAAGAAGTGGTTGAAAAAACTGAATTTTACGTGGCTTTTCTTCCAGCCAATAAAGAAATGTCCCAGTCCCTTTTCATGCCAACAGTTTGCAGTGACAACAAATGGCAGTACCGTCCAATGGGGATTTCTAAAATTGGGCAGCAAAGGGGGGACAAATCCATATAAAAACCTCCATTCAAACAATTTCATTATTGTACTCAGCCTGACCTCTGCATAAGTTACCACATCTTTCATTTTCAGCTGTTGGCGGCTTTTTGCCTGAACAAGAGCCGCTTTCACACCAAGTACTTTTGCCGTACTTAGTTCCCAGCACTAAGTTCTCTTTGGTGTGAACGCAAAATCTCTGGAACTATCCGAAGTTCGGAACTAAAAGGGAAAAGTACGGGGAAAAGTACTCCGGTGTGAAAGCGCCTAATGACTCATTTTATTGACTTCTTCCTGTATGCAGAGCAGTAGTCAACCTAAACCTGAATAAAGATCTGGTAATAATAAGATTGCAATTGCTTTTCCCCCCCTGCAGGCTCTCGTGCAAGCAGAGGACAGGGTGCACCGTATTGGACAGACCAGCAATGTGAACATTCACTACCTGGTTGCCAAGGGAACAGCTGATGATCACATGTGGTATGTGTCGATCAGTGGGCAGTGAGACCCAATTAAACTGATTAGAAATATGTGTTTTAAAGTCCTTTTCCTCACATATTCGTAGGGATGGGTATCGTTAAGGTTTTAACGGTACTACTACTTTTATCGATACCGCTTATCGATCCGGTCTTTTAACGGTACTTTTATCGGTTATTTTGGAGAAAAGAATAAGGTAAACTAACTAAACAAATTGTGAACAAAACTAACATTGCTTTTTATTTAAATTAAATACATAATATTTCACATCAAAAGAAACAACAATGTTTTTAACAAATCGTATTAAATAATCTGATGACAGAACTGTTAACAGAATAGCTGAAACTTTAACAAAATAAATAACCCAGTTACCTCTAATCATTAACCCATGTTTGTATCATTTAGGCAAGGGCTCAAGGCAGCGTTGATTGTCTGACACACATATTGTGACAAGGAGTGCATTTATTGTTCCTGCTCTTTTATAAGAATGTATATCTTTATTGATCCAGGCCAATGATCCAGCAGAAAATGAATGTCTTGGAGCAAGTGGGATTGTCTGAGTCAAACCTCTCTGACAAAGCAGTAATCGCCAGCTTCCACTCTAAGGTAAGCTCTGCATCCGTATAGAACAAAATGTATAATCCTGTTCACAGTTTTTAAATAGCATTAACATATTTACGACACAGTACAACAGAGCTTACCTAGCTAGATTAAAATGGTGTCAGTGGATTTAGTGACCGGATAGTTTGGATTTGTTCAGGACCCTAACCAGAGGAGCATCATGGAGATGTTCCAGAGGTCTTTCACTGCGGGAGACGAGATGGACGATGCCCTCTTACTGGAGGCTGCAGACGACTGGGACGCCGCCCCGCCTGAAAACAGTTCTGCTCAACATCACGGCGTGGCTGGACAGAACCCCAGCAAGAGGAGCATCAAAGACCACTTCAGCAGATGACTCTGAAACTCTCCCTATTAACATCATTTTGTTTGGACTTTTTAAACAACTTGTGTTAAGCCTATCATGACTTTTCAGAGCTACTTTTTGTAAAAGATGTAAAATAACTGAACAAACTTATATATATTTTTGACAAATGAGAAAATAATTAATAAATGTGTAACAACTTTTAACTTGATATTCTCGACATCCATACAGAGTTAATTTCTTAAGAGTACGTTTTTTCTCAACTGATCTTCTCATCATTAAGCTTTAAACAGGGAACAAATTCAAGCCTGCATCGTAGAAGTAAAAATGTATACAGACGGTTCAATGTCGGCAATCTAAGATGGATGTACAGTATAGTCTTGATTGAGCTAAAGGCTATTGAAAAAAAGTACTACCTTTTTTAACTGGCAAAGGAATACATGGTCACTTTATTATAGATCCATCACCTAAAGTTTGTACATGTCACGTCTTATTGTATATTTCATGATTCATAGTGACAGATTTTGTGTTTCACCATTATGTTACAGAATCAGCCCCACAATAAAAGCGAAACTAGGATGGATTCAGTTTCCCTGCTCCGGATCGTCACTCCCTTCTCTCTGTGGGCTGCAGGGATCTGAATTATGTTGGTCACCTGTAAATCACAGAGGAACATTAGCTCAAGTTATCTAAATGTAACCACTAAGACAATAATTAATAGTAATGTTCCCATTCCTCAGCCATTGGACACAAACCTAATGGCATCATGAGAAGATATACACAGTCCAATTTAAATGATCCTCCACAATGCAGCCGTCATGATTTACTTCTCTCTAGACGCAGTTTTACAACTCCGTGCCAGCTGATGTTCGGGACATTATGAAGATCAATGGCCTCATTTATCTGTATCTGAAGAGAGGCCTCTTGCTACTGGAAGCAATCTGAATTTTCATTATTAAGAGACTTATCTATTTGCTGGCTACTCAGACTCCTGACAATGTTATTAATGACTGCACCCTCCCATCCAACACACAGAAGTCTGGCAAATGTCTCGCCTCCAAATTCAATTTTAGCAATGTTTTCCAGAATTTCCCCTCTAGTGTAGCATCTTTAATGTTGACATAGCTGAGATACGGACTTCGAAGGATCAAGCTCTTAAAATTGGAACAACTTTATACCTTCATGATGGTTATCAGACATTTCTTCAGTGGAAGATCTGGACATTCCTGTGTTTTCATCTGAAGAATTGTCTTGCTCTTTCTCTGCAAAAAATGTATCTATTTCAAGTCTCAGGTTTCAACCATTTTCTTTTCAATGATAGGAAATATAGCTGGGTGAAATATCGTTTCTAGCAAAAAGGGTGTATAAAAGGCAACAGGAAACAAACTGTGAAGTGCTGCTGTTTATTTGTAGGCAGATGGTGTGCCAGATGGAAGAGACTGTCACACACATCATATGATTACCTGAAGTGATCGTGTTAGTCCCTCCATCAGCGGTGAGCTCTGCGTCAGAGCAGATGTCACCGAAGATAAAACGGATCTTCTCCTCTGCATGCTGCTCATTGGAGGAGCCGTGGACCGAGTTGTGGAGGATGTCGGAGGCAAAGCGCGCCCTCAGAGAGTCTGGGGATGTTTCCTTCGCTTGTTCTGGGTCTGTGGGGCCCATTATGGCCCTCCACTCCTCCACTGCATTTTCCTTGGTGAGTACAAGCATCAAACAGGGCCCCCTGAAACAAGCCATGAAAGGAAAACAGACCAAATGTTGTGTCAATTCTGTTCTTTTACCTGTTTCCTGGTGAAGCCTGATTATGCATTCAGAGGACTGTGCTGTCGTGATGGATTGTTTTACATGCTGGGCTAGTTTATATGAGAGTGAATGCTGACACATGCTTTTTGACTGAAGAACCTTAACTTTTCAATGTCAATGCAACACTTTCAAACTAAGAGGTGAAAGAGCTTTGCACCTTTTTATTATTTATGTTTGGGCTATCAACTTAGTGTGCTCTTTGTTATATGAAAAAAACAACAAACCACAATTTCTACGCCGAAATTAATTTGTAGAACAATGAAATTACTGTTACAAAAAGCTGCATTCCCCAGTGTGAATACATTTGGAGAATTGCAGGTAAATATATTGCTAGACATGTAGGCCACCCCTAGGCTAGAATATGAAACAAAAATGAGGCTAAACCTGAGCTAACATTGAGGGGTAGAGACAGTAAAGGTGTTTTTCTGAACTGCCCAGCTGCACATATCTCTCTGCACTTTGTAACCGAGCAGTTTTGTAACAGCCAAGTGAACAGAGCTATCGGGGCGGAATGGAAATTGAGACGGACTTCATAGCAACTGGCCTGAGGCTGCCTCGATTTGAAGCAGCCAACATGACTGTTAAAACTTCCAGAAGCAACAGAATGAGGGCGGGTTTGCTGTGGTCCCTCTGCTCTTTTCTTTTTACTGTGTTCGGGTACAAACTTACCGACACATGAACTCCACCAGTTGTTTAAAGAAAGGCTTCTCTCTCTGCTCTTTGTAAAACTCCTCAGCCATGTCCCTCGACATCACCGCCTCCTTCAGCTGCGTTACAGAGAAACCGCTGCCCCTGATCTCCTGCAAAATGTTATCTGTTAAGAGTCAATAGAAAATGTAATATTCATTATTCATGCACATTTTAACAACACGAGTACATTTGATATTGTTTCTTGATGGCCCAAAGGTACCTCTGTGTTCCTCCATTGCATCAGGTTTGATGACTGCTAGAGTTTTCTGTTTAGGGAAGAAGAAGTTAATCTCTTGTTCGGCCGCTTCCAGGCTCTCGCTGCCATGCAGCTGGTTGATGGGCTCGTTCTTCACAGCAAACTGAGCCCTTAGACTGCGGGAGGAGGGATACAGAAGTCAGCTCTGCAGGGAGCTACCATCAATATCTAATAGCTCTTATTTGAGGGTTTCATGGAATTCTTTTTGGACTACGTTATGTGCTTTCTTGTACTTTTCTTCAGCCTGCCTTGTCTGCTTCTACTTCAACTAGTGGTTTCCCCAATTTTTAAGATTGCCTTCCAAGAAATGGCAGAAACTGGAGTGAACATGGTGCATTGCAGGCAGAAAGAGATTACAACAAATGTGTCTTTGCCTTTGGCTGTACTACTGTCAGAAGAGAAACTGTTATTGTTGAATTCCTCCTGCGTGATTGTAGAATGGCAAGCCTTTTCTGTCTATTATTACACTAGTGATTTAAATAACCTGAAAAAACCTGACGAGGTTAAAAAGAGGTCAAAAGAAATACAGGGTTCTTCCTAAATAGCTGTCAGATCCATTAAAAAATGAGAACTCTATTAGTAATGTTTCCACAGCGAGTTCATGACTCATTGAAGTGTGTAAATGAGTAGAGCCTCACATCACTCACCATTCAGGATTTTCATCTTTGGCTTCATGAACGTCAGAGGGACCAAGAATGTTCTTCCAGAGATAGACAGCTCCCGTTCTGGCCAGAGCCAAAGCTAGCACCGGCCCACTGTAAATACACACCTGTTAAATGCATATCTGGAGCAACATACTACTCTTTAGAATGTTGTTTAGAGCATATGTTTGTTACCTGGTCATGCTTCGGAGCAGTGCAGGAAAATAGTCCTCCTCAACGTGTTGGAAGTAAAACTGTCTGACCTGCTCCTCTGTCAACAGCACATCTCTTTGGAGAGCCACGGTGAAGCCTGACTTATGGATATGAGCCAAGATCTCCTCTGCAGAATTGTAAAAATAAAAGACACAATCATTTGCCGGTTTAGGTAGAGACATCTGGCTACTGCAGTCATACAATAAATCCTACAATCATGAATGTTTTCTTTGAAACAGTTTGAGCAGATTACCTTTGTTAGCAGTTTGTTATTGTATTGTATTAAACTGCATTAGTTTTAGCTAGGTGTATAAACTGGCATATTTTTATTTTAAAATAATGTAAATAACCAATAGTGATCATTCAATGAAAGAATCTGGAGCTGCAGATGTTTCATTCAACACCTTTTGATGTGGAACTCAATAAGCAGTCCCACCATTTCACTATGAACCATCTTTATGCGTGTGTATCTGCGTTCGCATACGTGTGAACTTGTGTTTGCGTTTGGCCCCGACCCCACCTCTTTTTTCTCTGGCAACGTCAGGCCGGATAAGAGCCAGTGTCCTCTCCACACGCTCTTCCTCCCCATCCTGCTCCGTTGCTGAGGCCGTCCTAAAGTTGGGGAAGAAGAAGGCGAGCTCCCTGCTGGCCTGGTCGATGTCCTCACTGCCGTGCACGGCGTTGAACAGTGTCTGTGTGCCGTATTGTGCCCGCAAGCTGCAGGAAGCCAGGGGGGGGGGAAAGGAGAGGAGAGCAGATGGTTGCTCGGCTGGTGCTCAACCAGAGAGAAGCATAATGTTTGGGTGTGTGTGACGGAGCATGCGAGAATGTGCTGTTCATTTGCTTTACCCGCCTTAAGGCTGAGATCGTTTCACACTGTTGCAATCAACCGTGTGAATACACAAATGCTCTTCTTTACAAATACTGAAGGATGATCTTATCATACCAGATCTTACAGTTTTAACTCTTTTTGTGAATGAAGTATAATTTCCAGCAACTAACCTTTCTGGTTTTTCCCTCCTGGCTTCCTCTATGTCTGCTGGACCAATGTACTCCCGCCATGCTGGGACAACGTTAGCTGAGCCCTCAACCTGAGAGAGAACCAGAACGTGGGACGGACCACTGGACATAAACTGCACCAACTCCTCAAAGCAAGCCTACAAACCACATAACAACAGAGACAAGAGAATACACACATGTTAGGCAAAGAAAGTGTTTTTAAATCAGGCCTTACATTTACAAGGTGAAAAATAATGAAGAAAGGCGGATCAAAAATATATTATAATATTTGTTCATGTTCATTGTTTTTTAACTAGCCCCTTTCCTCATGTTTTGTATTTCTGAATCTCGAATCATTTAGTCTAATCACAAACAGCACGATAAGCAAAAAAAGCAACACAAAAAAAAGCTGCTTACACAGCAGACCTATTTTAAGCACTGCAGAAATGCAGATGGAAGTGTGATGTATTGCAAACTAATTGCAATGATTTTTGCACTGGTCGTGACTGCTCTACCATTAGGATGTTTATTCAGAATGTAATTGCCCAGACTAATCACACAGACGAGTGTGCCAAGCACAAAGAATGTGTTTATGTCAACTGTTTTCTCTCATGTTTGGGTGAGATGTGCTCTTTTAGCTCCATACCTCTTCTGCTTTATGCTGGTAAAAATCTCGAGCCTCAGCCTCAGTCAGCGTGCGTTCCTCTTGGGCCAGGATCTCGAACCCAGCGTCTTGAATCTAGCCAGGGGATTAACGTCAGGTTAATGAACTAATGTCAGCAGGAAAGGTTGAGGCAATATTGTCTTTCAGAATGTGAGCCGTCTGTGTACCTTCATAATGAGCTCATTTGCCTTGCCGTGAGCAACAGCATCTGGTTTTATGATGGCCACTGTGTAGGATTTACTGGCAGGAACTACGGGAGAAAACCGCTTGAGTGATGGTTGATAATGCAAAGATGAATCATTATGACGCTGGTTAACAACCGTGATTATCAGGGTAACAACATTTGCAGTATAAGGATATACCGTCTCCACAGTACCTATTATGCTGTCTTCTTCTTCTGACTGCTCAGGCGTCTTCTCGTCTTTTTTCTCATCATCCACCAGACCTTCATCTGTAACCTGAGGGACACACAAATACCAAATAAAAACATTATTCCCTGAACATGGGTGTGTACAAACACTGCAATGCCATTGATTATTTTAATGTTGATTATTCTGCAAACAATTTTGATCTAAAGAATGGCAGAAAACAGTGACAAATGTGCATCCTGGGAATGTTGTGACCAACGGAAGCTTATCAAGGGTCAACTTGTTCCTGTGACTTCTTGAGAGGTTCCCATAGCAGGAGAGAAGTCGAAAATGTCAATAAGTCAAAACACTCATTAAGTGACCTGTAGACCGTGGTATGGGTGTGTTAGCTGGCTTTGAAGCCTAATTATTTTATTTGGGAAAAAAGCAGTAAATGAACACACAACAATGTACCGATTATTTCAGTAAACTAATGGATTCAGCTGCATTTATAGAAAATATTTTTTTCTCTTTGTCTGATTTAATGTCGGCAGTTATGTTGCAGTGTTTTTCTGTTGCTTCTGTTTGTAGCATGGTGTTAATTTTTTTTATATATATCTGTTCTAAAAATTTAAATAAAAGGCAAAAAACAACGCAATTAATAAAATGTCTTAACAGTTGCTGATTAAGTTTCTCTGTTGAGTAAGGTCATTTTAACAGAAAGACATTTGACATGTCATGGAAGGAAAAGCACAGGAGTAAATAAAAAAATATTGATTTTGTCTAGCTCGTTAAGTTTAAAGACCTCCAAATTGTCATGGCTGACTGGGATACTTCCCTAGAATTAAAGTCAACATGCTTTTCCTAAATTGGCATGTCTGCATTGAAGTATGTTTATGTATTTTACTGCTCACCCCTTTGCGTTCAACACCTGTCTCCAGGACCAATTTCTCCTTGGCCAGTTCCTCCACAATTATCCTCTGAAGCAGAGGAGCGTTGGCCCCTCGCAGCACCGCCACCAGCTCCCCACCCTGTTCATTCAACACAATCCAATTCAACTAAACAAGTGATAACATATTGGAATGCTTTAAATACTTTAGGTCCATGTAAGCAGGCTCAGGAATAAGACAAACTATGAAAAGATAATACACAGGATATGTAAAAATAAATATAGACAGGAAATAAACTTGAATAACTTGAGAAAGAACATTTTATACAAAGGAAGCACAGCATGGAAACAAACATTTACTATACAAGCAGGCAAACACAGTATATATACCACACACACACACACACACCCCATAGAAGAGGAAGGTGGGCTCGCATTTCCCTCGATACTTCTCCAAAGTGTCAATGCTGTCTGCCTCGGCCTGCACCACACGAACACAAACACAAAAAAACATGTTTAAGGCGGCTCCTCTTCTTTTGAAATTTAAATTGTTCACATTATATATTTAATTAGAACTTACTGTGGCAAAATGCAATAGGTCATCAGCCAGTTCGTTCTTTATTTTCCGTAAGAGACTAACCACAGCTCGACAGGGGCCGCACCACTGTTGGTACACATCTACAACTGGAACAGACACAGTGTGTGAGCATTGACAGTCTATATAAAGTGTGTGATTGAGGGTGAGTGGACTGGTGCAAGCATTCAAACTGCAGTTTTCCCAGTGAACACAGTGTGGCAGCAACATACAATAAATTCAACTCATGACAGTCACCATTCACATTTATTTTTCACTTGTTACCAGTGTATGCTGAATTGATTTTTAAGATTTTTTTTAAATGGACAAGTTGTCATCTGTCCCCGAGACACAGACTTCTAAAACATTATACAGATAGATACGAAGATGGACTTAAACTGACATACTACAGACTGGTTTACTTATAACTTATGCGAAGGTTACGTATTTTATGATCGTTTTACTGTAGTTACAAACCTCTTGTCAAAATGGGCCTTCCTGCACATGGGAATCTGTGTCCAGAGAAAAGGGGGTAAAGTTCTGGTAGAGTGGATGATCTGGGTCATCTATGTGATTGAGTGGCTTTGCGTGTAAGGGATGGATGACACAATTGGTTGGGGGTAGGAATACTAATGAGTTTGCTGATTACAGTACCTTGAAAAAGCACTCACTCCCCTAGGCGTTTTTGTCATTTTGTTGATTTAGAACTGGGAATTATAATGGATTTTTACTTGGATTGTAAGAAATTGACCAACACGAAGCAGTCTTGTTTTCAAATATTCAAAAAAATTGAAGAGCATTGGGAACATTACCCCCTTTACAAAAGAAGCCACATTATTAGTGCAACAGGATCTGACACCTGATCCAACAAAGCACCATTAAATCCATTATTATAAAACGAGAGAATATGCCACCACAACTGTATTAGTCATTTTAAGATAGGACCAATACCAAGGGACCATGCAAGGAGCGCTTTAATCAGAGAAGCAACAAAGAGACAAAAGATAACCCTGAAGGAGCTGAAACTATTAAAGTGGAAATTGGAGTATCTGTCCATAGGACAACTTTTTAGCTGTAAACTTCACAGAGCTTGGCTTTATGGATGAGTGGCCAATGCTAAGAAAAAACACATTTGGAGTTCCCCCGAACTGCATGTGGGAGATTTATGGTGGTATGGTTTTTGAAGCCCTGCATGGACTGACACCAGGTTAACTGTGAACCCAGTGCCAGTTCATCCATTGTTGGCCTTAATCTGTGGAATAGTTTGCAGCTAACAATTATGTCCTTAGATCCTTAGCCTCTATTCAATCCTTATAAAGACATGCCTGATCACATCCTCTTTTTCATGGTTTCTTATGGTTTTATCAATACATGTTAAGCTTTTATTAATTTACTTATATTGTATAGTTCATGTCAGTATCACTACTTGATCATGCCTGCTTTGCTTATCCAATCTTTTTGTAAATCACTTTTGTCAAAGTGTGTTGATTAAATGTGCTTTACTAATTGACCTACAATCAGGTTAGATCTGAAGTTCTTACCTGTTAAACCTTTGGTTGCAAGCATCTCTTCCCACTGCTCTTGGTTTGTGACAGACGCCTGGAAAAATACAAAAAAAACAAATAACATCAGGGCTTCGTGAAGTTAGTTGACTTTTGTCAACATTACAGACGCCATGTTGTGTTCCAACCTGCAAACTCGCTTCTTTCTTCTTGCCTGCCATTTGATTAGTTAATATTATAGTTTTCAATCTACATGAAATGCTAGAAAGCTTATGCTGATTACTAAATCCAACTGCTCAGCTGCTGCTCGCACTTGTTTGGCCCCGTGGTTGCTAAGCAACGAAGCCTTCCGGGGAGTTCTGTTTTTCGATGGAAGTGCACTTCATTAAAATCGTTATCTTGTGTTGTTGTCGCTATTATTTAACTCAAACGCCGGTCGTGGTTTCGTATCGCCAAACAGTCTGGTTAGTTTAAAGACACATGGCAGTCAGAGTGAGAGCTAGAACTACAATTCTTCTTCTTCTACTCTCTTCAAATGCGTTGCTGTTCCTAGGGCGTTTCCGTTTGCGTCCCCAGAACATAACATGCATAATACAAAGTATCTGAATAAGCAGTGTCATGCTCTTTGCAAAGACTACTTTGTAAACTGAAAATTATTATAGCCTATTATTATATTTTTAAATAACATATTCAACAGGATATAGTATCATTTGAATGTGCTGAAGGCCATGGGGAGACCACAGTAAGTTACCTCACTATATCAAGTGTATTTTTGATCACATCTCAATGAAGGGGCTATGGTCCCCTGATCTTTATTATTTCATGATGATTGATTGTGCTTTTTTATAGATAGTTTTGATAGACCAATGTTTTAATGTGTGTTATTTTGCAATCAGCTTTGATGCCATGTGGCATGTCTTTGGCTAATGCTAGCTAAGAATAAAGTCCTGTTAATCCACATTGCATTTAGCTGCATTTTTTACCAAAGCAATTTACATACACTTCTTTACCGTTGACATGCCTATGGGGGCAACTTGGTGTTAAGTATCTGCCACAAGGATGTTGACTGCAGGGGCTGGGGATCAAACCAATGACCCTCCAATTGGTAAACACCAAGCGGCAAACTCGAGTAGTATGAAGCTGCAGCCTCGGAGGAGGGTGCACTCTCAGGACCGCATGCACTCTCAGGACCGCATGCACTCTCAGGACCCTAGTTGTTTTGCAACATCGCCACCTAGTGAGCAGGAGACATGAATATGAACGACAACGTAGAGAGTGTGAGTAGTGTGAAGTGCTTTTAAAGTTGTATTTGTTTAACATTAATAACAATTCCGGTGTCTTGAAATGAAGTGTGATTAGCTAACATTAACTATGATAGTCTTAAGGCAATACAAACAAACATCTGTTAGCTTATGATAGCTTCTAACAGTATTAAAGGCACTAAAAACAATTATTTGTTAGCTATAGCTTTCGGCAAAAGCTAATGCTAATAGCATTAGCTTCATTAGCATATTTGATTATTTGTTTAATGAAACTGTAGCGTGATTTTGGCAAGCCCAACTAGGTGTCCTACATTAATTGTTGATTTAATCACTAATTACAGTAACACGTGCTAAATGTCATCTGTTAGCCTATGATGACTCGCTGCAAAACCAACTGTTAGCCTTTTTGTTTATTTGTTTAATGTATGTTATGGTTGTGTTATTTAGCAGAGGCTTTTATCCAAAGTGACTCACAAAAAACATAAAATAACCATAATTAACATTAGATTATCAATACAAATAGTTACATAGTCAGTTACATTACGTATTACATTTTTAACAGGGTAATTAGTCATCTGTAACCTACATTTAAAAAAAGTAAACTTCCCAACCCTGATCATTAATTATAGTCAGCTAATTAATTAAACTTCAAAGGATGACAAAAGCATGTCAATATGATCTGTCTGTCCGCTACATTAAATCAGCAGTAGCCTAATATAAGTTCTGTATTCAGTGTAAATGCTTCTTTAATAGTCATTGTATTACTATTTGAATTCATTGTAAATAATCTTAACTGTGCTGACTGCCTATTTACTGTTTATCAGACAGTCTCATCATTTTGACATGTTTTGTAATATTGCATGAGGTGTTTTAGTCAGTTATTATGTCGGCCTATTCTGTAGGTTAGAATCTGTCGTGTCAGAATCTAACAATTAGGCCTAATTTATGTCTGTCTGTGAAAGTATTTCAAAATGTTCAGTTTGACCAATTAGGCTCTCTCTTTTTCAAGATGCATATTTCAATCCAAGAGGGGAGATCCTTGACCGATTTACAACGATGCACTACATGTTGCAAAGTCTATAAAGTGTCTTTACTTCTGCCTTCTCCTATCCTAGTATTATGAAGTTGATTGACTAAGAGTAAGGTCAGCTAAATTAAGGAAGGTTTTGTTGTTTTTCTGTCTGAATTGTAATTTTCTTATGACATTCTACTTCAGGTGTCGTCAACTGGAATGTCTTCTCAGAGGGACACAAAAGGGAATTTCGGAAGGAATACCAAATTTCCAGGTGCTTTTACTGCGACAACCTTTATAAGGACGTTGGCACAGGCTACCGGGGAAGTGGACGGCGAGGAGTGTTGCAGGGTTTTTACTCAGAAGAGGGCTTCCCGGGGTACTGCAGCTGGAGCTGTTGTCTGGTGGTTGAGGGAACAGCAGACCCCGCCTCACCCCAGTGAAGAATCCACAGTGCCCAATAAATAAAAATGAATTCTGCACTGAAATTTCTCTCGTCAAATTGCATGTTTATCTTTTGCAGCCTGGTGCATAAACACACTAACAGTTGTTTTTGAGTAATCTAGCACCTCTTCAAAGACACATTTGATTTGATTTATTTCGAACGTGTAATACAATAAAAAAAAAATATATATAATAATGAAATGAAACAAGAGAATTATGATACTGTAGAAACATAAGCAGTATCAAATTGATTCAAAGGAGTTTACACTTATTTAACCCCACCCCTTCTCCCAAAAACTAAATTAACAGTTTTCTTTTAACAAAATATACATCTAAATGTATGTCTACATACAATATACATTTACAATTATAAATAGATTATATCATTATTACTACAATATATATATATATATATATTTATGTTGTATGTCAAATTTGATAAAGACAAATATAAAAGACTATCTTTTTACATCTGACATACAAAATACATTTGTTATTAAAAATCAAAAACATATTAACAACTTGTTGTTAATAATAATAATGTAATTTCAGTAAGAAAAACATATTTTCATGCATTTTTAGATGGTTAATAACAAGCATTACAATGTCTAAAGAGACTCGCAGTGTATGAGACTCAATACTCGCTGGTTGTACTTTTGCGGTCATCCAATCCGCTAGGTGGCGATGTTGCAAAACAACTAGGGTCCTGAGAGTGCATGCGGTCCTGAGAGTGCACCCTCCTCCGAGGCTGCAGCTTCATACTATTGGCAAACTCTGGGGAAGAGCCGGGACGCCAATACGGAAGTGCCACAAACTGCAGTTCATATATTGGCCGATAGGCGATGACTGCAGAAAGGAGCAATTTCCATAGACCCCCATGTTAAAATGCCCAATTTCACAGCAGAAAAAAAACGTTTCTAGCCCTGGCTGCAATACATTTTATTATGTATATAGTTAGATTCCACCTTCATGATTATGAATCTGTGAGTGAATTGTTTTCTAACATGACCCTTTTATTTATATTAGGTCTTAAAGTTTTTACATAAATTAGGGCGTGGTCACATTGAGTGACAGCTCTGTCAAGTGACTGCTGCTGTTAGCTTCTTGTCTCTCTGCTAGCTGCTCCGTCTCCGTGAAGCTACAGGGACTCACTCTGCCTGCTGAGTTCATCCAGGGAACACAACTTGACCCCGGCCGTGTTTGTTTGTTCTTCATGCTTATATATCGGACTATTGTGACTCGCTCTGCGGTTAAAACAGACGGTGCATGAATGCCGTTTTGCGGTAAGTGAAATTCGAGTACTTATGTGTTTATGATTTTAATCAGCTACGTAATGAATGTTAAGGCTTGGGTTAGCGTGTAAGCGAGTGGTAGCTACATCGGTGCTAACGATGCTAATCGTAGCCTCCAAGTTAACTTAAAACCATAGACCGTATATATAAAGGTTAAAACGAAATAGACAAGTGTTAAGCGTTAAGTGGGATAATACTGGAGAACAAAAGGCTTCTGTTTGAGGTTGATAAAATAAGGTCATCCTTGTAACTTAGAGAGATATTTTATTATGTAGGTAGGAACTGTATGCATCGCTAAGGTTAATTTAAATTGGCTATGCTCGAGTACTATGTAGACAAGCTAACGTCGAAGTAGTGTATGTGAAATCAACCTCACAATAAGATGTGTGTATATTACAATTATTAATGTCATATTTCAAGATGATTACTTAGATATTACAATATGGTTGGTTGAGCTGGAGTTCATTATTGAGCTTACACGTTAACATCACAGTCATCTGAAGAACGAACCCAAACCTTGTTGTTTTTATTAATTGCATTACCAAATTGGTATCAAATAAACAGTAAGCATTGGTAACACAACTTCCAAATTTACAGTAAAATAAAAAGGACCCTGACTCGTACAATACACAATCCAACATGTTCAACAGAAGAGAATAAGTTATATTGTTTGTACACATGGTACTTTACATATATATCTGTTTGTTTAAAGTGTGCAGGTGATGCAGACAGGCTGGACCAGAGAGTGAGAGACAGCACTGGACTCCTCACAGCAGTGAACTTCAGCACAGGTACAAATACTCTTTTTTCATACTGTACAAAGAATCAAGAAAGATATTGGTTTAAATAAATGAAGTATTGACTTTAATACACTGATATACATTCCATTAAACAATACTAAATACTAGATCACCTACACATCAGTGAAGTTGAGGGTTATTTCCATGCAAAGGGTTACATTTAGATGTTAACAAGCAATATGACTGTCAGCTTTCTAATTTAAGGTATTGAAGGCAAAGATATTTAACGCATAGTGACAACTGCTATTTATCTCTCAATATTGTCTGTAAAAACGTGGTAAAAGTTATTCTTTCAGTGAGACAACAGAGCAAGCTTCTACAGTTGCACTAAGTTTTGATAACAGTTAAATATTATTTTGATAATAAAATACATTTCAATGTTGATGAATTTCATACTGTTCATTCATAATC